CATATCCACCAGCAATATCTGCAAAAATACGGTATATATCAGTATTATTCAGAACTCATTCTGAAGAAAATAGTTTGCTTAAAATACAAAAACATAGCTTATGAAAGTGCAATTAAATGATCTGTTATTTAAAGTAGTCATTGCTCTTATAGCTTCTGATCATATGAGCAACCATTAGAAAGCCAATACAAAGTTCGATTAATATTGCAATATTTTATCAAATTGTACTTCGCAAATCAACTTATAAAATTTCAATTAAATTGTCTCACCCGTAGGGGGAACAAAGGCAAAAAGTAGCTTCCAGAAAAGTGTTATGTAGTGCATGATATAATCTCCACACGATGGATGCTTCTCGTCGTCTTCATCACCTTCTCCATCGTCATCGCCTTCATCGCCTAGGATAAGATGAAAAAAAGTTGCATTTATTTAGTATCAATTATAAATGTGTATAAAAGTTTGATTTGCTATTCATTTAACAAATGTAGCGGCTAAGTTTATCTGATGACAATTAAGTGCATCTTAAGTGAGAAATCGTATTATGCGGAATAGAATAAATATACATGGTCTGTTCAAAAAGTTTTCGGAATTTTCGTTTTTTCAAAAAAATATTTATTTATTCGTCTACATTAATGTGGTCCCCTTCAAAGTAGTCCCCCCCAGATATAATACACTTATGCCAGCGTTTTTTCCAATTTTCGAAGCACCCTTGATATTCACTTTTTGATATGTCCTTGAGCACTCTCAGCGATTTTCTTCAATCGAGGAAAACCGCCGTCCTTTCATGGGTCTCTTCAACTTTGGGAATAGGAAAAACGTCACACGGAGCCATATCTGGTGAATTTTTGCACTTTGCAACACTTTATTTCATTTTTTACGCAAAATTTAATACAAATTCTTTGACTTTTCAATTCTTCCATTGTAAAAATCGCCGAGCTCAGAAAAACACGTCGAACCTTAGCGACTACCACAGACAAAGTAAACAGTGAATATAGCTGAAAATTTCATCATACTTTAGGGGCATGTATACCAACACAATAAAAAAAAAATTTTGACAATCAGACACTCCAGACCCGCGAAATTAATTATTAGTAATTCCGGGTACTTTTTGAACAGACCTCGTAACTATATATATATATTATATATATATAGAAATATATCAATGACCGACCAAAAATGAACGGATTTCCAAGAATTGTGAATAATGAATTGCATCATCAAAAGTTGTGTATTGCTAAATGTTTACAATATATTAAAGTTTATTTGTGAAAAATGACGTCATCCAAATGACGTCCGTTATTTCCATACACTTACTGTCATTTCAGGCGGTATCTTTGCAATTTCTGCTCTGATTCCTTCTTTCAAGGCATAGATGGTTTGAGAAAGTCATTTAATAAAAGTTGAAGAATACACGACTCGATTTGTTTTTGCGACGATTAACGATACTAAACGACTCACCGACTCATATACATACATATATTAATTTTTCAATTTTGGTCTCAAAAGATTCAGAATGATTTCAAACACCAAGAAACCAAAATTAGCAGATGGGATTTTTTGACAACAAAATTTATACTTATTGTTAAAATCTCTATAAAATATTTGATAATTTGATGTCGCATATGTCATTTTTGACCGCCAAATGGCATTTTTTTTACTTTTTAACTTCCCGTAGGGTAAGTTATAGTAATCGCAAAAAAATCGAAAATGAAAATTTTTATATATCTTTACGTTTCAGAGGTTTCTGAACATTTTGGCATACCTTAGAAAAAATGGATGTATGTGTGTGTGTGTGTGTGTGTGTGTGTGTGTGTGCGTGTGTGTATGTATGTGCGGATACAAATTTTCGTCGACGATTTCGGGAACACGGATCAACCGATTTGAATAATTCAAAAAACATTTGATTTGTATTGATAAGGAGACGTGCTGATTAGTTTTTGGCGAAAGCAGGTCTAGCCGTTCCGGAGATACGGGGCAAAAAGTGCCGAAAACGGTAACTCAGTTTTTAAGAGAACGGAGCGTCCGATTTTAATAATTCAAAAAACATTCTACTTGTATTGACAAGATAAAGAATTGATCAAATTTTCATAAAGGCAGGTCTAGCGGTTTCGGAGATCTAACAAAAAAAGTAAAAAAAAATGCCATTTGGCGGTCAAAAATGATCATTAGACATATGCACATCAAATTTTAGATATTTTATAGAGATTTTAACAATAAGTATGAATTTTGTTTATTTTCCTATGGGTTCCGTATCAATGTTTACCCGTTAGACAGCGACGCCGCGCTTACGCGCTTTATATTTTGTCTCTATGCAGTTAAAGCAATACGATTGCTTTGAAAAACAAGTTCAGATCTTCCAAAATATGTCAAAATAAAAAAAACATTTTTTTTTCAAAAAAAAATTTTTTAAAAAAATTTTTTTAAAAAAAATTTAAAAAAAAAATTTATTTTTTTCAAAAGAAAGTAACTTTTTGTCCAATTTATAGTTTCTCAAAAATCTTATTTTTTCGAAGTAATTTTTTTTCAAAAATGTTAATCGTTTTTAAAAAAAATAATAATTTTTGGTACGGGAAGTTCCAGCAATTTGCCTTAAAGCACGATGCCCTAATTGCCTTAAGACAGAATTCCACTTACAGCTAGTTTCATTAGATCTCTAAAACCGCTAGACCTGCCTTCATGAAAATTTGATCAATTCTTCATCTTGTCAATACAAGTAAAATGTTTTTTTCGATTATTAAAATCGGACGCTCCGTTCTCTTAAAAACTGAGTTACCATTTTGGGCACTTTTTGCCCCGTGTCTTCGGAACGGATAGACCTGCCTTCGCCAAAAACTAATCAGCACGTCTCCTTATCAATACGAATCGAATGTTTTTTGAATTATTCAAATCGGTTGATTCGTGTTCCCGAAATCGTCGACGAAAATTTGTATCCGCACATACATACATACATACACACACACACACACACATACATCCATTTTTTCTAAGGTATGCCAAAATGTTCAGAAACCTCTAAAACGTAAAGATATATAAAAATTTTCATTTTCGATTTTTTTGCGATTACTATAACTTACCCTACGGGAAGTTGTTAAAAATAGCATATTACACTATATTACTTTAGAAGTGAATAAAATCAGCAGACAAAACCATCTTTTTCTTTCGACCTTTAATTGTTTTCAAATATTTCAATAGTCAATTCCTAACCACGACGCGCGACTCAAGTGGTTTTATGGCCTGGGATAATGAATTCAGATAAAAGAGTTCCGCTCGGCCATGGGTAGTTTTGCAATAAAATGCAAGGTAAACCTATACTAGTCGCCCAGAGCAATAAAGCACTTGAGCGAAATCATGAAAACGTACTCTTAATAGGCCCTTGGAAACACATTCAAACTTTTCCGTGCAACCCTTGGAAACAGTGAAAGCATTATGTTACAATTTATTAAAAGCTTGTAATTCCACCGCTACACGAATGCCAGTTAGTTCTAACGAGATTTTTTAATAACAGTAATTTTTGTAAAAGCAAAATAAAAATTTAAATTAAATAAAAAATGTTACCTAGTTCAGAGGTAAAAAGCGATTTTATATAATAAAACTTCAAACGATATGTATAATATAACAGTGCTAACAACGCAAACGTATTGATATTATATTTTCGATACAGATTTTCGTTAAATAAATATATCGTCAGTCGTAATATTTTATATAAATTGAGAGCTAATAAAACTATAAAAAGTATTAAAAGAATGAATTACTTGGTTTAATAATTACTTCTCACTAGAGTTTACCTGCACTAACGGTTAA